AATGTAGCCCAGAGCTCTCCTGAAGTCCTCACTCAGCATCCACAAAGTTACAGCATTTAAAGACTGTTCCTCCATCTTTCAGAGGATTTTTCTTCCCATCATCTTTAAATACGTCCATAACCGAAGTGTTTTTAATCGAGGCAGTGAGGCTTCACAGAAGCAGCCTGAGTGAGGATTTCGCCACACAAGTGGGAAATAAGTTGTTCATTTAACAGGAGTGCAGGTTTCACATGATTTAAGGAAGATACATGATGGTGTTTGAGTTTAAGTTCAGTGATTTATGAAACTAAAGTGCATGTTTGGCTCCAGTTCAGCAAACTGTTGAATGACTCAGTGAATCTACTGAGAGAGAAATGTCTGTCATCATCAGAGCTATTAGAAATAGTCTCTGTCCACAGTGTGAATCCTTAAACTTCATGGAGCCAGTTCAGTTTGTAAAGCAGAATATTTGAGAACTGTTGACAGAGGTGTTGAACAAACAGCATGTTTTCTGTTCTGAATGTTCAGGCTTTTACAACACTGCCACCTGCTGGGAAACCTGCACCAACACATGAACTCCAAGAAGAAAAATGCATTTGTCTCAATGAAAAACTGGTTGGAGTTGTTGTTCTGGGAATTTTAGACCATGCCTGAACATGAAGCACGGACTGAAACAATCTGAGGGAAACGCCTAAATCAGATGCAAGAGCAGTTTTTTTCATTTTGTGTGTCATTCATTCTTGCAGGTTGCCTTTATTTTTTTACACAGCAAAATCTGCATTATTTGACTTAAACTACCCCTTTTAAACAATTTCAGCTGGTCAAAGGAACTGGATTGGTTAAAGCAGAACACAGAACAGGTGAAATGATGACAATTGCAGACTGCAATCAGTTTGTGGCAGACAATCACTTTAAGGCACAACAGCATCCTTAACTGGAACTATGCTGTCTCAGAGGGAACAGAGCCCTTGAAAGAAGAAAGTCGCTCCAGTGGACGTCCAAAAACCCCAATGTTTCAGATACGTCCATGCAAATCTGAATCTGTAAATATGGAGAGACAGAACTACTTAGTGGTCAATACATAAATTGATTTCCAATATTTATATAACACAATGACATGTAGTTAATTGCATAATAACAAGAACTGATCAGATTTATATGACACTTTTCTAGACACTCAAAGTCACTTTACAATGTCAGTTATTCATTCACACACATTCGTTCCGGTGGTGGTAGCTGCAATTGTTGCCACAGCTGCCCTGGGGCAGACTGACAGAGGTGTGGCGGCCAAACAGTCCATTCATACGCCTTCACACCAGGCAAGGTGGGCGAAGTGTCTTGCATGAGGACAAAACAACCATGACACAAGTTACAGGCTGGAATCGAACCAATCAATGACCGACTCGCTCTACAACCTGAGCCACAGCCGCCCCTAATAAGTGAAATATTTATGTGAGGATAACAGCTAGTGCTTAACATGTTCTAGGTTGACCTGGTTAAAGAGCATCCTGCAGTTTACTGTCTTGATTTATTATATGTTCTGAAATTGTATGGCAGTCAAGAGCATCATGATGTTTAGTGATATATTCAGAGAGAGGTGAGAGGAAGAAGGGTTCTAAATTTTAAATTAGATCAATTTTCTATGCATCCAGACCGTTGCAACCATATGACGTTACTCCCAAGACTGAATTTGCTTTGTAACACATAAAGGTGACCCACAAGTGAAAGGATGTTTTCTAAT